TGTACTCGATTGCGGCGAGTATGCCGTGGGCTGACATGAACAGGCACAAAAATGTTGTCAAACTCGCTTTATGTCAAAAGTTATACACAAAAAGGTAAAACCTACAATACAATAACAATTTAAGCTATTACAGTGCGGTTAAATGTTTTGAAAACTTACAAAATATGAAAAAAATATTGCAAAACTTACATCATGGCATCTCCATGCTTTGTTCCTAAGTCAGCAAAGAATTAYGGGAATGGATACACAGGTAACCCGAACCTTGATCGCACGGATTATTAATTTTTAAAATCAACTATTCGTTTATTCTAACACATTACTTACATATACATGCTTTTCCATGACTTTTTAGTCTTCGTCTTCAGACTCGGAAGAGTCAGTGGATTCATCTGAGAGCTGGTCATCTGTAATGTCGTCGGTTGTCTTGTTTGGGTTTTGACAATTTTCTTCCCCCATGCAACTGCATGATTCGGTGCAGACCAGACCGTTAGTGCTACAAGAACAATTTCTTGTACAGGAGGACTTTGAACAATTGCAGCTGGTCAGCTCCAAAATACTTTCAGRTGCAGCRGGTTTGGTCATCAGTACTGGACACAGCATACCATCTTCTGACTTCCATCCGTGACCAATTGGCGATGGCAGATTGTGTTCGATTAATTTGTTTTTGTTTTTATTTTTATTTCAATAATGAAAAAATAATGAAAATCAAACAAAAATTAAACAAAAGAGGCCTAAAAATGTAGTGGCAGAAATGGGCCACCATAGTTTTCTCGAAGGATAATCGCTTCAAAGATGAAAAAATATGAGGCAAGTTGAATAAACATCGTCCCTTTAATGGTTTTTCTTTTACAGTAGTTCATAGTGCACACATATATCAAGCGATTTTTAGCAGTTTTGGGCCAAAAGCTAAAAAAGACAAAAACAGGGTGGTCGCAAAAAGTTATTACATTTCGTAAAAGATTAATAGTCTGGTGGCTTATAGCAAAAAAATAAGCAGATCGTTACACGAGTGGTAAAAAGTGTGATATTTTGTGTATACATTCCTTAGTGCCTTCCTAGTGATGTTAGAAGGGATGCCCATCTCAAACTGTAAAGGACCATGAAATATAGCAAGTTCAAAAATACCAGATTTCAAGTTTTGGGATTCCTGTGGTACGGATGATTGGATTGTTATTGGGCAGAATAAACTAGATAAAAATTAGATGCTTTGTCATAAAATGCTTGTATTTATTAGTTGATAAACAAAACCATTTAAAGAAGTTTATTTGGAAGCACTTAATTAATCCACATACTATATACTATAATCATTCTGTAACATACAATAAAGAAAATTACATGTAATTGCTTTATGGACAGAGGCATTTACATAGAGGTGTGCAGTTCTTTTTGCAAGAACATTTTATCAATTCCCTACAAGCAGTAGCAACGTTTGGTAGACCCATCCATTTAGGATGCCACACTCCCTCTACATCTTCCCAGCCAAACTGTCCTGGGGAGGGAAAGATGCTGCATTGGATCGTTAGCTGTAGACCAAAGCCTTGCTATTTCTTCTAAGGTAGGGGTGATGTCCCCACAAAAGCGAACCTTTCGTGCGATAAAATGTCCTTTCTTATAA